AGACCAGACATAATGCAGGGAGGGAGATTTTAACGGTGATTTATTGTGATGCAGATGGTGAGCCCAGGAAGAGAGGCCAAGGTATCTGGCTGCCAGGTTTGGTTTTCTTACCTACAGAGTAAGAAGGGGAGGAGAGTCTTGAGGCTAACCCAAAGGGATGTCTTCATATCTTCAATAACTAAAAAACCTGTAGCAGTGACTTTTAGGCAGTGGAAAAGAAGAGTAACATCCAAAATTTTCCATGCTGTGACACAGTTTGCTGCATTTAGGGACAACATTTGTGGATGCCTAAGCCCAGGTGAACTTAGACTCACCTTTCAGTTAAAATGCTCTGGAAATGACTTTTTTTCTGCACTCAAATTAAATTAGAATGGCTTTAAACGTACTAAACACAGAGTCTTTTTTCTTATGAAAACATAACATTTCTAATCAAAATACAGATGTAAAAGTACATGGAAAGAGGGAAACTGAGCTCGATGTAGCTTTGTTTTAGGGAGGAAAAATAATATAATTCAATAAGACTGGCTTAAACCCTCTGATTAAAGCTTTTTTAACATAACAGATAGGGAGGATGAGATCTACACTGAGATAGTGATAGTTAGTACAGATCAAAAGAGCTTGTGTTCATGCCAACTAGATTAAATGACAGGATGTGGGGAAGTGCTGGGTACCATATCTGGTTACTATACATACAAGGCTTTATTCCCTGAATGTATATTTATCTATCAGGTTATATGCACTTATATATGGAAATTACAGAAATAAATTGAAAGCAATCTACCATGTGTAGAGTATTTGTTCTGATGCTGTTCTAAGATTGCATTTCTTCCAATTAGTAGGAAAGCTTTAATTTTTTTTACAGCTGGCTCTCTTACTAAGATTGTAGAAGTAAATTGTATTAGAAATTTAGGTTTATTTTTAACTGCATTAGCATTCCACTGGTCTCACTTGGTAACTTCTGTGCATAAATTCAGTAGAACCATGTATTTTATACTCCAACTTTGTTTTAGCAGGAAGACTAGAACAACTTTAGGAGAAAATTAAACTTAAGGCCCAAATTGTAGTTGTCATTTTAGAGGTTTGGTTTTTTTACTATTTATTTATCTGCACGTGGCCCCTGAAGAAGCAGGAGAAGGGACTGGAAGAGTCTTTGCCTAACCCAGTGTGGCTGCTCTTGTGTTTCTTACACACTCTGCAGCAGCAGGATGTGGGAGGAAGGGAATGTGAATGTCAGGAAGGGAAAACGCTGCCGGATATGAAGATGCCACAGAACTGTGCCACCAAACACTTCTGCAAGGCAGGAGGGTCTGTCCCTCACATCTGCTGAACAGGCCAGAGAGTCCTGCCTCATCAAGCTATGCCAGAAAGGAACATAAAGGAGAGTTTCTGTCATCCCTGCAGGAAGATTGATGACCAAAAATGAAATGGTTTAGCGTGGGGTGCAACTGAACTGAACAGATTTCATTAGCTGCACCTGCCTTTTATTGTTATTTTTCATTGTTGCTGCAGTGCTGCCTATAAACCTGAGACTCACGGTGCTCCAAGCTGGGAATACTCCTAAGAAGATTGTCTCTCTTCCAGAAACCTGAAGGAATAAGCAAAAGACAAAAGATGAAGAGAGGAGGAGGAAAAATCCTTTAGTACACTGAGGACATCACTAGCACTGGATAAATTTCTGGCAGACAGATGCAGGACAGGCTAGAGCAACATGCCAGGATAATGAGAGCCAGAAACAGCAACAACAGCAAGAGAAGAGGTGCAAGGTTCCACTTTGCTTTGTGACAAAGGGATGGGGAGCAGGAAGAGGCAACACCCTTAGCCTTCTCAGCAATCCCACAAACAAGAACGGCTCAAGGTTTGTGCCACGTGTAGTCGTCCACGACCGTGCAAAGTGAGGATACAGTAGCATTTCTGTGCTGAGGCAAACATTCCCACAAAAAACTCAGGTCTTTGATATTTTAGGTAACATAAATTTTGCCATTGGTGGGTTTTAATGTAAGCAGCCTCCTCCTATAAAAGAAAGAACTGGAAGCAGCAGGGACTTGGAGACTTAACTAGAAGTTTACTTGAAAGAAAGAGTAATTTCAGCTGCAGGGCTGTTAACAGTCAGTCTGACAGTGGGCAACCGATACAATGCAATCTGGTGAACAGGCTGAGCTACTATTTCTGAGCCACTGCCACAGAAAAAGATTCCATCACGTCTTGATTACTGTGCAGTCCTGTGGGCCTTACTGCCTTTCTGCAAGCCGCACATCCTCTGGCTTCAGAGAATGTCTTAAATTTTCATAACCTTAAAATCCCAAGCAACCTAGGAGAGTTTGCCTGTGCTTGTTTTATTTATGTTGCTGATGGGCTTTTCATAGTGAGGAAAAATATTCAGCTTCACTGCCATGCTTAAGAATCATGTAATCATACAATTGCTTAGGATGGAAAAGACCTTGAAGATCGTTGAGTCCAACCACTAAACCATGTCCCCCAGCACCACATCTACATGTCCTTTAAACAGCTCCAGGGATGGTGACTTTATCACTTCCTTGGGCAGCCTGTTCCAATGCCTGACCATCCTTCCCATGAAGAAATTTTTCCTGCTATCCAATCTAAACCTCCCCTGGCACAACTTGAGGCCATTTCCTCTTGTCCTATTGCTTGTTACCTGGGAGAAGAAGCCAACTTTCACCTCACTACAACCTCCTTTCAGGTAGTTGCAGAGAGCAGTAAGGTCTCCCCTGGGCCTTCTTTTCTCCAGGTTAAACAACCCCAGTACCCTCAGCTACTCCTTGCAAGACCTGTGGTCTTCTACTAAAGACTGAAGCAAAGAAGCCATTAAGTACCTCAGCCTTTATCCCATCCTTTGTCACCATTTTTCCTCTGGCATCCACTAAAGGATGGAAATTCTCCTTAGCCCTCCATTTTTTATTACCGTATTTATGGAAGGATTTTTTTATTGTCTGGCAATAGCCAAGTAAAGTTCTAGCTGAACTTTGGCCCTTCTAATTTTCTCCCTGCATAACCTCATGAAATTCTGGCAGTCCTCTTGATTTGCCTGCTCCTTCTTCCACAGGTTAAAAACTCTCTTTTTTTTTTTTTTTTTTGCTGAGTTCCAGCCAAAGCTCCCTGTTCAGCCACACACTTCAGGAACGTTCTCTACTGTTTCTGCTGTATTGTATTTCCAGCAGATGTCTGGGAAGTCCCCCATAAGAACAAGTGAGTACCAATTGTGAGACTTCTCCCAGCTGATATCTGCCTTGTGGGCCTTCTCCTGATTCTTACCCATAAAGACTCAACCAAATCATCCCCATCATTAAGCTCCAGACAATCAAAACACTCCTTAACACACAGGGATATCCCAGAAGGAGGTCAGGGTGTAATGTAGCATCTATCAGCCTTGGGTGGCCTCTTCCCACACTGAAGACTATTACAGGGGAGAGATACCCTGTTGTGATCCCCTTTTCCACAGGATCCTGCAAAACTTCCCTGCCAGTTGCTTCACTGGAGTGGCTGAGGAGGAGGCAGGCCAGAGCATGGAGCAGATCCTCACTGCCCTTGAGACCCTGGACGCTCTTGCAGCCATCAAGCAACACTGAGCCACTTCCAGTGTCCTCTGTGGATGACGCTGCACAATTGCAAGGGCAGGATGTGCTGTGGGAAGCAGGTGCTCCCAAAAAGACCAGCAAGGAATGGAAACGTTTTATGGCCAAGGCCATCACTAAGTTGCCAAATAGCTCTGGCCCAGCTCCACAGAAATCCCACCTGGTCTTTCCTCTGGGCTCAACCTGCACTGCCACAGTCAGTCCCACAGCTTTACACTGCACTCCAAGGGATTCAGCTCTTGGCTCCTGCCTGAGTCAACAGCTGCCCTTTCCCAGAGTACTGGGACTTGGGTTTGCTACTACAAAATATTTTGCATGCACAAAGGCTTTATATACATGCTAAACATACAGACTGTGGTCTGTCTGGACATTCTTCGAGGAGTGAGCAGTTGTTCTGCTCAAGAGTGCAGACTACTACAAATTCAGCAGTAACAGCATCAGGAGCAGGAAAATGCAGGCTTAATAATAGGAGAAAAAAAGTAGTAAATCAATGTATTTTCCTGGCAGTTTGTCAATACCAACTTTAGAAGACTTCATTATAGTGATGAATATGCAGGCCACAAGTTAATAGCTTCTTACTTACAAATTAGTCAGCTTAGCCAAACGATCCCTGTTTGCTATCAAATCTACTTGATGGTAATAATTTAGGGAAGATGAGCTGAACTGTATTGACAAGCTGTATCTGCTGGCTCTGAAGTTACCACTGCAGAACAGATGTCTTTCTTTTTCTATGCAATTCCTTCTGTGCACCAGTTCGAAACATCCCTAACAGAATTGGTGGTTGTGGAGAGGTGAGGGCACCATATTGTAGCTTCCCATACAGAGTTATAACTTGCCTTACTTTGCTTAAAATTCAATCCAAGTCATGGCTAAACTGTAAATTACTTTTTTTTTGGGGGGAGGGGATGAAAACTATATATTGTAGGCCGAATACTGACTACATGCACGTGCAGAAACCTTGGAGGGCTGCACAAACAGTGAAATTAAAAGTAACTATATTATTGTGAGAAAAAAAACAAAACAAAACAAAACAAAAAACACACACCAACAAACAAACCTGATTTGTAGTAGTTGGGGATTTGGGCAACACCTGGCTAAAAAAAAGAAAAAAACCCACAAAAACAAAAACACCAAGCCACAAACAAAAGCACCCCAAAAAACCCACAAACACATACCTATATTCTGGCTGCAGCCTTGCCCATAAACAGATTTTTCTCCTCCATGAGCACACAGGGATGTTTTGCACAGGAAACAAGCAACAGCTGCCAAGCAGATACACTTGTTCAGTGTGGTCACTCCAAACTCGGTAGCACATTCCATTCCCTGGCCCAGGGCAAGGCAGGGGTTTTCCAGAGCTCTCCCAGTTGCTGCGTCACAGAGGATTTGGCCCCTGTGCGGTACATCTCTGATGCACTGTGATTTTATTTAGAACACACTTCAGCTCTTCAGCCTCCAGGCTGCAGAGGCAAGGTGCCAGTCTTCAGCAAGAGGGGGAAGGACTATAAATAGAGCAGGCAGGGCTGCCACAGGCAGCTTTTGGTCTGCTTAACTTTCTTGTTTAGCCTGGAAGAAGCAGAAATCCAATCTGCTGAGGAGATACGGCACAGCACAGGCACCAGCAACAGCTCTTCTCTCCAGTCAGTGACTGTCTCTCATTTTCTGGGTACAGAGATACCGCCACTTACCTTTAATCAACAAGGACAGCACTGCCTTCCATCTGTGCTTCCCCCCAGCTCTCTTGGCTTTTTGCAAGCTCTTGCCACGCAAACTGTCAGGCATTTTCATGAAATCAGCTACTCACGAGGGAAATGATCCTTCATTTTCAAAACAAGAAACAAAACGAATCCCGAGATTAAGTACACAGAGGTAACACACATTTCATCTTACTGAGGCCCATGGAGCTTTAAGAACTGCTGTTTATCAGTTCTTGCTCTAATTTGTGTCCTCATCACGTAGGCTCACTAGGAGATCTCCCTGGTGTTGTGTGTACAAGGAAGGGACATTTTTGCTGCAGGACAAGTACATAAAAACAGCACCAAGAGCCCAGTCCTGAACTCAAGAGGTCTTTGTTTTCCCTCACAGGTACCTTTTTCATCCCTTATTCTGTGCTTGACTCGGTTACTATTAAAGAGAGAAACCATATTTCTACTGATTTCCACTGCCTAGCCCACCTTTCAGTGAGTGTATTTTATTTACAGCACAAAGCTCATGGAGGCCACCTTTGAACAGTGCATTTTAGACTCAAAGCACTTGAATGGATTCTTTGAACTCCACACCAGACTGCATTGCAGAGCAATGGTTCCCCCTATTCCCTCCTGCTGGGATGCACCCTAAGAAGGATAACATTCAAAATAATTTCAGAATATGCTCTCAGCACTACACTATGTACAAAAGCAGATGGGATTACTTGGGTCAGGGGGGGGAAAAAAAAAATCACATACTAAATATGACACTTGAAAGCAAACCATCAAGTCTTAGGGAAGACAGCTGGATCTCATAAATCTTTCTCTTCCACTAAATATTTAGCCTGCATTCCCTGTGTTTTCATCCTTGCTGGCCCTTGCTAAACCTGAGATACAAGAATCTAAATTGGAAGGCAAGCTGGAGCAGAGTATCAGTGACCTGCTACAACCATGGATTTCCACAGATGCACTGGGTTTGCGGTCTATTGCAGTTCTCCTCCTGCCCACCCTCTGCTACACAAGCATGAAGGATTTCTCTGTTACACAGGGTTTAAGGTTTTATAGCCTTTTCTACCAACAAGTGCCTCTTTTTCCTCAGTTGGTTTAATCAATTAAGATAGCCAGGAGTTAGCAAGGACAACTTTATCACACTTGTATTTAGCTGCAGTCTCAGATGAGAGAAAACACCTGAAGTCTCTCTGTCCAAAGCTTGTCACCTCACGCTCTCCACATCAGAGCTGACTGACAATACACAAGGAAATGGCCACACAGGGCCTTTTCTGTTGTTAACCTGGACAAAGCCAATGTTTTCCCATCACAATCTGGTTTCAGAAATAAATACTTTCATTGGAAATTTGTCTATGCACCTACAGGTCAGCTGAAAGCTAATGCCAGACCAAGAAGTGACAAACAAAATTCGCTGAAATTAAGAAAACTCCCATCCTACATCCACAAATAGAGGACAGTAACTGGATGTGCCTGATAAAAAGAACTGGCAACAGCAGACACTGGTAAAATCAGAAAAGAAACTCATTGGAGAGAAGTAACAGGACTTATAACTACAATAACAATAGATTTCAAAATTGGGTTCTGAAGAAATACTGAATCTATACAAATTAAATAGACAGTACTTTTGCTACCTTTTAAAGTTTTTCATGGAGGTAAGTTTTAGCAACTTTTGTTGTAAAGTGAGTGAAGTTCTTGCAAACCTATGCAAGTACATTCCTTTTCTAAATCTCTGTATGTCTGAATAATATACTTTGTTCATATTAAGACAACACTCCATATAACTTTATTTGTAGAATACCAAGTTGCAAACAGAGGTAAAAACAACAGAACATAAAAACTTACTATGAAACCAAACTAAAATAATAAAACAGTGCATTTTCCTCAATGTTTAAATTCCTGTAAGAGCTTCAATAAAAAGCTTACTCCAATAAACATGAGTTTAATTTCAGCATTTGTTGTAATTTCTCTAGTGTATTAAAGAATCCTAAGTCGCTTTAACAAACATTCTAATTAGTAAATCCAATAGCACAAGGAGTTTCTGTGAGGGACTATACAGTAGTTCCCATTGCATGAATGCACACGGGCAACACTACAAATAAAAAAAGACAAACCATTTAACAAGAGTGAAGATATCTGCACTGTGGATAAACTGAACACAAACTAAAGTGAACTCTGAAATTACAGAGTTGCATTAACACAAAGGCACATTTTACTTTTAGTGTAAATTCACATTTCCAGAAGGTAAAAGTTTTGTGCCCAGGCAACTTCAAGTCATCACAGCACAATCAGTCAAACAACTCTTAACTGCACACATCTGAACTTTCAATAGAAAGATCTGGTTTCTATTTCTTTAATCCAGTTTTATTAAGGGAGAAATTAAATTAGAAACAGAAGGGCTCCCCATCCCATATTTACAGCCTGCAAACTCTGCTGCTTTCTTGTCAGAAATTCTGGTTTTGCTGTCAAATTTTGTTAAGCTTTGTAACTATCAGCACCCTCACAGTTTGGTCAAAGGCCCCACAGACACACAGTCCCTTTTTGTCAGGGCTCCAGTCCAGGCTGGAGATGGGCTGTGTTGACAGAGTCACGTTCTGCAAGAGACTGACAGACCCTGCCACCCCCATCTCGGCTCCTTCCGAATCCTTCTTGGAGCGCTGAGCCGGGTACTCACTGGCGATGGGAAAAGGAAAACAAAAACAAACACACGTGCTTAGAATTTACTGATGCAAACACACCATTACCCTCCTTATTTTCTGTCCTACACATAAGGCAAATAAATGTCTGTCATTAAAAATAATGAATAATCCCATCCAGCTATACCCACACTGCATATTTAGTGGGTATTTCATGAAAGAAAAAAAGGAGGCAGGAAGTTTTTAATCCTGGCACTTCTCTCCAATAGCCCTTCATTTTTTAACCATTTGGCTTTTGCCACAGTCAGGAAAATTTCACCTCAACTACTCTGAAACCTAATGTACCTCCTTTACTGTGTTCAGTATGATGAAATTATTTTCCCATGTAAAGTAAGAAGATGTAAACATAAGAATCATTAAAAGTCCAGGCTTTCAATATTCTTCTCAGACTTAACTGCTACTGTATGTGAATTTTAAGAAACCCATTTTCTTCCATTTATCACCTTGTTAACCAAGTATATAATTAGATTTTCATTATGTTAAGACAACTGACAAGGGCAAAATTTACCTGTGCTGTCACATTTTCTTAGGGATTAATTCAAGATTCCAGATCAAGTTCTGACACTGAAATCACCCTTTCTACTGCATTTTTAAGCAATAATTTTAACTAGATATTCTGAGGTTGGAAGCAGGACCCCACTTATCATTTTCAGAAAGATTCTTTCTTAAAACATTAAATGGTAGGTTTCTTATTCCCAGATGAAGAAATGATCACTTACTATTTCCAGAGATGAAGGCTCCCAGATCCTCCACTTGTCATAAATATATCTCTGTTCTGTGGCAGGTGCCTGACCTGCCATATAGTAGATTTTTGTGCCTAATAAAAAAAAATAAATTAAAATCAGCATTGTACAGAAGTAATTTAGTGATGAACTTCACAGGAAAAGGTACAGAATCTTAAAACAGAGACCACTTGTGTAAAGAGAGCCCAGCCTTCTCATGGTGGATGATTAATTTAACTGTCTGATGTCTCTTAAAATCATGACTGGAAGGAAATGCACTGCAAACACTGCGCAATCACAACAAACAGTCCACAATTCAAATTTAAACCTCACCCAAGGCTCAGCAAGATCCTGTAGCAACAGAAATCACTCAGGAAAAACCCCAGCACACGTGCTCTGATTTAATGCATATCTGTCTGTAAACATCCACAAGGAAAAGCTTAAATGCACTAAATGAACAGCAAATTCTGTTTTCACAATTTAATTATTACAAACACTAACTCAGTAAAAAAATACTGTTTTATAAAGTAACCTGGGCTTTTATTACCTATTTGTACTACATCTAGAGTACTTTGACAGTATATATGCAAGAAGCTTGTTTCCTATTAAGAAATCCTCTGTCTCCCCATACCTTCTCTGAAACAGAAGCGAAACCTTTGGTTGGATGCTGAGTTCTCATATCAAAAACATGGAACTTTCCCTCAAGTGATGTGGCCACCAGCTTGTTCATGTTTATATCTTTTCTGTCAAACTCCACACTGCAAACCTGGAAATATAAGAAAGGTATGTTCAGTCTTGAAATTTAGCCATTGCTAAAAAAAAAATGGGGTGTTCTGTGATTTGTAAATATACATTAATAATTTGTTATTCCTACAATAACATCCTCACCACTTTGAAAATAACAAATCCATTTGAAAACATGAATCCAACTGAAAAATACCCCATGCTGTCCTGACCAAGGATTTGAAGTGTACAATTTTTTTGAACTTAAAGAAAATTATTTCTTGGTGCAATCTCATCTTCTGGGTAAGTTTCACACAGAAGTCCTTTTAATTTTTCCCCCCTGGGTAGAAGCTGGAATGAAAAAATACTTTGATGGCTTCCTTACCCCGTTCTTAATGTTGGTCTCCCACCGCAGTGACATGGTTTTTAAATCAAACAGTTTGATGTCCCCGTTGTCGTATCCAGCACATACAACACGTTCCTCCTGGTTGTAAGCATTGCCTGGACACAGAGAAAGAATTAATCAGAAAACACAAACCCTCTTTAGCATGTAAATTTCAGAAGTCCTGAGCCTGCAATTTCAACTTACATTTATGGGAAAAAAATAAATAAATTAAAAAATTGCTATTGGGATAATAAGATTTCATGAACTGGATGGTTCTCAAAGCCGAAGGGTATCGAAAAATTTTGTGTAAGACACAAGGAGCTTGTTCTGTCCAAAAGAAAAATGCAGAGTTCACATCAAGCATTGCTGTTTTCTTTAATTAGCTCTTAAGCTTCAAGGATCTTCTCATAAATTAATGCTTAATGCTTGGTAGTTGGACCTACACTACAACAGTGGAGGGTTCCCTGTGCATGCCAACATTTACGCTCCTTCAGAAAAACACAGCTGGACATATTATTTTAAGATTCCTAGGCTTAAAAATAAAGCTTGCACAGCTTATCTGTGAAACCACAGAATCAGTGAATCATTCAGGCTGGAAAAGACCTTCAAAATGATCGAATCCAACCGCAAATGGTGGCCAAAGGTGATTAGAGAATGATTCCAAAACCAAGCTATCACAAAACTGGCTTATTTTGAAAAACATCCCAACATAAAACCCACAGAAATTTGGCAATGTTGAAATGGAAACTCTGCTCCTTATGCATCTACACAAAATAAACTATTCCATAACATCCTGAAATACACTGATAATCATCAAAGCCCAGTCATATTAGAGGGAGGAACGGTCATAATCTGATCAATTACCAAATGCCACTGTCCAGCAGTCTCTTTTGCTCTCCCCCTGTACAGGTTCCATATTAGCCACAGGAGTGTCTTTCTGCCTCGGGTCCCACACCTTCACAGTTCCTGGGAAAGAAGGACAATGGATTTTGTGTTAGGGATGCATTGTCACGCTGTGTTCATATTCCCAGGAAAGCCCTTTGCTTTTCAGCCTGATCATTCAAAAACCCTTCCAATTCCAGAAAGCCTGAATGTGTTTAGTGGATACAAGAAAGAACCACAAAACCAAACAGAAATAAAGTGAAAGCATTTCTTAAGGATGTATTTTCTCTACTTGATATTTTGCATTTATTCTGCTCTGTATTCCTTCTGTCCCAGCCTCAGCGAAAACAGTGTATTTTGCTTATCTGCAGCTTCTAAAAGAGAGAAAATTTGTCCCAAGGAAGATTCAAAAGACAGTGTATGAAGAACTAGTTGCAACAGGTTGTAACTAGTTCAGATGGCAGACTGTGCGCTGCCATCAGAGCTCACAGGCTCAGAGGAACTGAGAAGACTTGCAGAGTTCACTAACTCACCATCTCGACTGCCAGTCACAATTTCTGGTGCACCTTCCCCAATTCCTAAGCCACCTACACCATCTATACTGTTTATGATTTCCTTATGACCTTTCACAGAATACACTGGTATTTCAGGAGCTTCTAAATTCCTAGGCAAGAAAGAAAAAGAACAGATAATATGGCATTTTCCTTGACACTCAGGATTTGTATAAAAACGAGAGGAAACTTGAGAATAAATCATATAAGCTCAGACTAGCAGTGAGAACAAAATATGGATATCACCGTTAAGAACCACGTGTCTTTGTTTATTCCTTCTTTGGCTACTGTTTTGGACTGGTCTGAAAAGTTTTGCTCAGTTCTGGACTTCCCTGTTTGTAAAGGCAGTTGAGGGATTCACCAGAGCAACCCTTCAGACCCAGTTTTTATGCTGGAGTAAAAATGAATCACACTACAGATCAAAATACTCCAGTTAGCTCTACTTTCAGTAAAGCTATAAAATGACCTGAGTTGCTGATCCCCACCTAGCTCTGACTACTGGTCTTCAGCTTCAGGTGAATATTGTATCCAGCCACGGTTTTCAAGTTTCTTTCCCATTGATTCCCATTCTTTGAGAACCCTTCAGAATTTTATTTTACATTTCCACTAGTGACTATTTCATGTCATTCTTGCTATTCCAACAAGAATTGATAAATCCATGCCAAAGGATATATCATAATAATGATAATAAAATAATCCCCTTTTGACACTATTGCTTTATTTGATAATCAATTTACCTAAAAATTAATTACATGAATCATTCAGGGACCTGAAAAAACATTTAAAACTTCAAGATTAAATACATATATTTAATCTAGACATCAAATTCGACTTGAACACAACCTGTTGTTTGTATTTGTACATCCACTTAAAAGCCTCTTTTCAGAGGAGGACCTCACAGAACTTCAACAAGTTTTTGTAGCTGCACACAGAAGATGGGAGTGAAGCAGCACTGAATTAAACACTGTGCAGAACTGATGCTGTTTTTAGAAAACAGGCACGGTCCAAATACAGTAGCCAGTGAAGCTTACACTGGGTCCCAACCACAGGAAGCAGGGAGAGCATCTCATGGAAAAGCCAGGCACAGAAACCTCCGTTCAGAGAGACAAACACAACACCAAGTGGAAAAGCTTCCAGAGAATGTCCATGCTTACCATATGTTAAGGTTTCCATCGAAATCTCCTGTAGCTAAGTATCTTTGCTGCAGAGATGTAGCTCCAAAAGTTCCACATTTTATAGGTTTGGGCTTTTCAATCTTTTAAAGGAAGGAAACTGTGTCAGCACGTGGAAAAGGCAACATAAACCCACAGACGACGCAGCTCTCAGGAGTCCACAGGGGCAGGTGTCAGCGAAACACACATGGGATATTTGTTTTGCAAAACACTATCAAAATGCTACCACAGGTAAACTACACTTGGAGTTTATTTCCTTGAGAACAGGAAAGCAGAGAGTCCAGTTTACTGGTCTCGAAGAACAACAATTTATTTGCTTGTGGCCTGATGGGGCTCTATGCGCCTGAGGCACTGATACCCCTGAGAATGAGCCAATGCTCGGAGGTCTGTCTGAGGGGAAAGAAACAAACCAAAACAGCCCGAAACACCCCAAACACAGCCCTGTAACCCATAACGCAACCCATGACCAAACCAAGGAACATAGGCTCGTTGGCGAGTGGCGATAAACAGTCACAGACTCCATCAGGCTGGAAAAGACCTCCAAGATCACCGAGTCCGACCTATGACTGAACACCCCCATGGCAACCAGGCCCTGGCACCGAGAGCCACATCCTTGACCGCCTCCAGGGACGGTGACTCCACCACCTCCCTGGGCAGCCCATTCCAACGTTCAATCACCCCTTCGGCGAAAAAATTTCCCCCTAATGTCCAACCTAAACCTCCCCCGGCCCAGCTTAAGCCCGTGTGTCCTCTCGCCCTGTCGCTGGCTGCCTGGGAGAAGAGCCGGACCCCCGCCCGGCTACACCCTCCTGTCAGGGAGCCGTGGAGAGCGATAAAGTCAACCCTTAGCGACAGGAAAGCCAGGATACCGCGGGATCGGCGCGTTTAACAGGCACACCAGCCTCGGGTTTTGCCCCTGGCCCTGGACAAGCCGGGCAGGGAAGGGGGGCCGGGTCCCGCGCTCACCTCCCGCAGCAGCTCCAGGCGGCCCCCCCGCAGCTCGTAGAGCTGGACGAGGCCGGTGCCGCGGGCGGCGCTGCCCAGGCACAGCAGGCGGGCGCTGCGGGGCACCCACTTGCAGTCGAACACGGTGTAGCTGAGCGCCTGCTGGGCGTGCGACACCACCTGCGGCCGCTCCGGGCCCGGCGCCGCCGACATCCCCGCCCCGCGACCGCCGCTCCCCGGCGGATGCGGCCGCAGCGCCCGCCGGCCCCTTCCGGCGGCCGCGGCACACGTGGTGGGAGGGATCGCGGGCCGACATGGAGACACAGGCGGCGGCCCCGGCCGGCGGCTTCACCAGCGTCGTGTCCCGGCGGAGGCGGAGGAAGCGGCGGGCGGGCGGCGAGGAGCCGGCCGGGGCCCCCATGGACACGGCGGGGCCGCGGCCCAGCAAGCGGCCCGCCTTCCCTCCCGTGTCCGCCGAGGCGCTGGGGGTACGCGGGGCGGCGGGGCAACGCCGGCGGTCCTCGGGTTTTTTCCTCCTCCTCTGTCTGATTCTGTCTCTTTCTCTTCTCTCCTCTCCCTCGGAAGGTCGGGAAGGGCGAGCTGAGGAAGATCCCCGTGCCCGCCAACAGGTACACGCCGCTCAAGGAGAACTGGATGAAGATATTCACGCCCATCGTGGAGCACCTTCAGCTTCAGATCAGGTTCAACCTGAAAACGAGGAACGTGGAGATCAAGGTAAAGGGAGCCAGCCCCCTTCCTCCTGCCTGCCCCGCTAAGTGGAAGAGAAAGGTTGGGCAGAGATCTCGGAGCACCCTGCCTGCAGCTGGAGGGGCCTAGAGGGAAGCGACTCCATCGGGAACTGTAGTGACAGGATAAGGGGGAAGGAGTACAGATTGGGGAAATTTAGGTTAGATATCAGGAAGAAATTTTTTTACTCTGAGGGTGGTGACACACTGGAACAGGCTGCCCAGGGTTGTTGTGGATGTCCCATCCCTGGAATAGTTCAAATACAGGTTGGATGAGGCATTGAGCAACCTGGTCCAGAGGGAGGTGTCCCTGCCCATGGCAAGGGGGTTGGAACGAGATGATTTTTAAGATCCATTCCAATCCCTTAACATTCTGTGATTCTAACTCCTGAAAGGCAGGGCCTCTCATGTTCAACATGATTCCATCTTGTTCCACAGATTAAAGACTAGAGAAGCATCCCTAATCCCACATAACACTTGGAAAAATGGAAACTGTGTGGTTTCACCTACCCAGAAGACCCTCACAGGGGATGAAATCTGGCAATTGTTGTTCAGAACAAGTAGTTAATGCAAGTAAAATCCAAAAGTGTAAATCTGTTCCAGAAGGGGCCAGCATAAGCTGGAGGGGCATTCAATTTTTGTAGGAGAAAATCATGTACTGCAGCACTAAGGAAAAGTTTTAATCTATGTGTTAGATAGGATTTTGGAATGAAATGTTTTCCAGATATTTAAGGCTATTTAATGCTTACCTGACAATTTTGACTGAACAGTGTCTTTAGAAGGGGGCACGAAATCTTCTAATGCCTTTGTTTGTGGCAGACAATAAGGGCCTGTAGTATTTGATTGCTTGTAATTTTTCTTTAATGGATTGCACTGGAATACTTTAGGGCACAGATACCAACACAGACCTGCAAATGTTGTAGATGCTCATTCTTTTTCCTTACTCCTTCTCATGAATATTCAAACTAGCAGTTTTTAAGTGTAGATCCAAAGCTTTGACATAATTCAGTGAGTCTTAACAGTGTAGATGTACGAGATCTTCCAATACTGAAAGTACAGACACCAACAGGAATTTTTCTTCCTAACCTTGAAATCTTACCACTGGAGGAAAGATGACAGAACTATACCTTACTTAAACTTCCTAGAAATAACTTCCAGGAAAAGGGAGGGAGGAGCAGGAACTCCTGCGCTTCCATTCTATAACTGTGCAGGAGCAAAAGATTTTAACACCACTTTTTGATCCCAAGTGATGTCTGGTGAGAAGCAAGATTTTGTTCTTGATCAAGCAGATTTCATTTTGCCCATACCCATACTTAGTTTAGTTCATGCTGGTTTTGGGTTTTCTTAACAAAAAGGGTTCTCAGTGGAGGGGGGGAATTTTCAGCACCTTCTCTCTTCTCTCCCCTCCAAGCACAGGCTTTTTCAAATCCCAGTTCTAGCTTCCCTGGTCTTAATTTGCACACGTAACATCTTGTCTTGCAGACTTGTCAAGAGACAAAGGATCTCAGTGCCCTGACAAAAGCAGCTGATTTTGTGAAAGCATTTATACTTGGGTTTCAAGTAGAGGTGAGTCTCCCAGCAGCTTGGTTGCGAGATCGCTCCAGTTTGCCAGCATGATGTCTTTGGCCTCTGCAAATTACAGAAAGAAGGAAAAATCCTGGGGTGGTTTTCTAGAAATAAATTGTTTGAAGTTGTGACTGGAGTGGACATCGAGTTTCTTAAGGTAACACAGGATAAAAACATAACCTTGAAACAACACATAATTTAAATTATGACAAAGAGGACATACTTGGCTTGTGTAAGACAGCATGATGCAGTAAATCTGGCTGAGGTGCTCTGCACATATCAAGACTGTTCATTTTGCCTTAGTCCAAGCCAATAACCTGCAGTCTGTGCAAAACTCAAACTCTACTTAGAGAAAAGAAACCCACCTTTTGTAGTATTGCAAGGGCTGCTCCTTGTCCCAGACCTGTACTGGCTTCACTAGCACGGGTGAGGTTGGGGTGAATGCAGGGGCATAGGGTAGGGTTCTCTAGACAAAAATACTTACATTGCTGTTGAAAAAGCAGTGCATTTAACTTTAGCTATTATTTGATAGACGAACTGGAGAAATACAACTGATGTCATCTGTTCATATGTAAAAAGAGAACATCAGCTTTAAACTCTGTGGTAGTGGAGCACTCGTGCTGATAACACATCTCTTGCTCTTTTAGGACGCTCTTGCTCTCATCAGATTGGATGATCTTTTTCTAGAGTCATTTGAAGTTACAGACGGTGAGTAGTTGCTGCTGCAGTATTCCAGGAGTTGTGTGTGTGTCACCAGCAAGTATCTTTCTTTTTCCCTGCTCCACTTTTGTCACTTGCCCTCACAGATAAACCAGAAACATCTATTATGTCATGAATTACCAGGGTTCCTTGGAGTTCTCTCTAGAGCAGCATATTAACCCGATCTACTTAATTTCTACCCCTGTTAACTGGGTGGGCTTTGCCTCTGTTTCCTCAATCTGAAGTGCAGTGGAATGCCTTCCACTGCTGTTCTGCAGGAGAGTTTCTCTTGGATGCCAGAGACCTCACAGTGAGGTAGCACTGGGTGCAGTTTGCACTGCTGGCCGCAAAAAGTAAAATCTGGATGGATCTGTATTCACCAGTGAAGTTGTTTCTGTATTACTTGTCCTGAGTTGTTTCCAGTAACTTGACCAAGGGGAGGATTACAGGGATACACACCACTGCTGTTACCCTGGGCACGTTATTCTCGTTTCAGTCAAACCTTTGAAAGGAGATCATCTGTCAAGAGCAATAGGGAGAATAGCAGGGAAAGGTGGAAAAACCAAATTCACCATAGAAAATGTAACCAGGACACGCATCGTTCTCGCTGACCAGTAAGTACAGACTGACTTCCTCCTGGTCAAAACACAATCCCCTCGGCTCATCCGTGCCCCTGCCAGGAACAAAGATAACTTGGATTTTTTGGAACTGTTGCAGAGCAGTAGTAAGAAAAAATAAGTGCTATTTTTAATTAACAAGTATTTATTTGACCTTTTGTTATGAGAATGACAGTCAACAGCACACTTAGAATTCAGTCATTGCCCATAGTGTAGGAATTCCTTCTTACGATAATCAAAGTTGAACTCACCAACCTAGCAACATTTTCCTCCTGAAGCTGCTACACTGTTAAATTTCCAAATTGTAAAATCTATTTTAAAAGGATTTAAAAGAGCACAGGTCTTACATTGTAGATTTTCTGGGCTTCAGTTGGGATTTTTTACTATTTACAAGTGTAGAAAAGGAACTAGTCCACTGATACAGAATTCCACGTTCATCTCTCACCTGCAACTCTATGAACTGTCTAATAATCACAGAGGGTTTTTTTCTATTAACTAAGGCTACTTTGCTTTTTACAGAAAAATTCATATTTTGGGATCTTTTCAGAACATTAAAATGGCACGAACAGCAATTTGCAATCTAATTTTAGGTAAGAACTCTTATCTAATCTTCAACACTGCATATAAATAGATCTTGCATTTTGAGAAACTGCTTTGTGGCTCTTACCTTCTTCCTGGCCTGTCCATACCTGCACTTGGAGCAGGTAGTTTGCTGGCAATTGGCTTGTTGTCTTTAAGAAAAAGTTTTGGAGGGGGGAAGTGAGGAGTCCAGGGCTTCATTCTGGCTCCAAAACCCTCTCTGTGGGGCAGAGAGATGTTCTGCCTTTTGATGTAGCTGCAACATTCCCCGAGGGGTCATGAAAGGCAAAGGGGACAACTCACCCTAACAGCAGCAGTTTTTAACTCTGCACCTGCAGTAAGACTGACCTTACCCATCCTTCTCACCCTTGGGATTAGTTCTCCACTTTTAGCACAAGTGTGAGAGCAAAACATCAATTTTTGTGACATGGATCACCTCATTTGCTGACTGGATTTGTGCTTTCTTCTGCAGGAAGTCCTCCTTCCAAAGTTTATGGCAATATTAGGGCAGTGGCCAGCAGAGCAGCCGAGAGGTTCTGAGCTGCAGCACCAAGGACTGGGGCTGGGAGTTCAGGTTCCTGAACGCACGGGAGTTCTGATTCCTGGACGCATGGGGGGGCCTGGAGCTACAGAAGCCACAGCTCTTCTGCTGGATTTGGAAGCCCAGAAGAACACTGGGACTTGTTTTGCAGTCTGACTGCCTTCAAACATGTGGTGTGATCTGAACATACATAATGTCTCTGTATAATTATTAAAAGGTATTTTAAGTTGGTTGTGTCCATATCAAAAGCACGAGTACACAATTTTTTACTTGAACAGCCTCCAACAAAAACATGCTTCATTACGGATTTTCAGAACGTCAGAGTTTTAAGAGGCTGCTGTCAGAACTTCAGAAAGCCTTTGAGTTTCATGTTTTGAGCCTAAAGGAATCGGCATAATTAAGTATTTAAATCCACACATCACGGTTTGGTATCTTCCTGGAAAAAGGAAGAGTCAACTGGAATGCAGAATTTGATGGCTAGCTGCCTACCAAGTCTCTGCTGCTGCTGGAACAATGCATCCCATGGAAAGAGTAAGACAAAGAGGTAAATAACATATTTGCACTTAATCCTGAATCTGCACATATATAAACTTTTTATTTCTCCTGAAAATGATCTGTAAGGACAGCCTAGTGAAGACAAGAGCCACTGGGTTTAGTACTTGCCAGTGTACCAGAGCACAAACAACTGGAAAGTCCTGTGTCTCCTCCTCGAAATACTACATGGACACAAGAGTAGAGATTAGAGAGGTCAGTCCCAGTAGGACTTAAAAATGGGCCCTTTTCTCCTAACCCTGCCTGCCAACCTTGTTGCCAAGTCTTTTACAAAATAATTCAGTTCAGGCTTGGGAATGAAAACAAAAACAGAAACGAGATTATCAAACACACAGGCAAACTGACTAGGCATTTCACTCAATGTCCAAGTTTCCAGAGCAGCACTTTGCAGTATGAGATTATCATTACAGCCAAATTGACTCAAGCCTTCAGCTGCCAACAGATTTAAGACTTGCTGAGTTACCTAAATATACAATGCTCAGCAGTCCAAGCTGTACAGGGGAGAGCAGCTCCAGGTGCACACACCTGGTCAGCACATCTTCTGTTCATCATCTGCATTTACCTCAATTAGCCTGAAAGATAAGGGAGAGGGAGGCAAGAACACACAAAAATTATTGCTTATCCTAAATCAGGTGCATATTGATCCCAACCCAGATCAGCAGGAAGGACAGGGCAGCACTCAGAAGACCCAGACACCTGCAACCCAAAGAGCACAGGAGAGCTTCTGGGAGTGACATACCCGTGCAGGGAGGGCTGGTGTCACCAGCACAAGGCTCAGACCTCTCCCTGAGGAGGTTTGTTTTGCTCTTTAAGCCACCTTCCACTTACCACAAGGATTTCAAGGTATTTTATCCAGTTTGGACACTTAGCAAAGATAACTATGTGGTTTTGAAAAACCTCAACATGTAAGGGGTCTTGAAACACTGAAATAAATCCTGAAAGTGTTCAGTGGACTGTGCAGCCTGTAGAGTTTTTCAGTAAATCTTCATAATGGAAAGAGTAGACAAAAAACTGTGAACAAGTTTTCCTTAGATCAGTGTGCAGAGCTGCTTTAAGGTGAACAGGAAAGGTTGTGCAAGTACTGAGGCACCCCAGCCAAGGTTCAAATATTTTATTTTGTATTCATATAGTATGAAGGTTCTTATAGTTCCCACAACATATGATGTAGCATGCAGAGGAAAAACTAAACATTCAACATAAATCATTTTTCCCCACACAAACTAAAAAAAAAACCTCATCCCTCCCCTTCCAGTCCCCCTAAGGAAATAACATTAGCACTAATTTCTATAATGCCAGCCAAGATATGCACAAGCAAGAGAAATTGAAAGCATTTGCTAAAATGTTTGTAACAAATACTTATGTACAAAAAATTCACAAAAGACTAGTTCCCCCTTGAAGCAGAGCACATGGCAGTTGACACTGGAACAGATACAACCACTGGCTGGGATTATAAACCACGTACTGATCCAGAGGAAGAAAAAAGTTACATGTAGTGGAGATTTTTGTTTTGAACATTAACATTTACCAAAGTTTGGCAACATTATCTTTTAAATTATGCAAATTATGTAAACAAGAGGAACATTTCAAATCGATCTACATGCAAAACTTCATGTCATGCAAGGACACCAAGCACCTGGATTTCTCTCTCACAGACAGAGCCCATGATGTGCAGCACTCAGTTGAAGGAACAGCTATGGCAGACAGGTGCTCGATTGAAGAGGTTCAGACAACCTGCACTTTCCACTGCTCATTATAAAACAATTTTTTTTTAATAGAAAAACTACTATACAGGAAAGATGTACTGTTCTAAAAAAATCTAGCAAATGTTTTTCTTCCAGCCAATAGTACCACTGCAGAAAAGGGAAGGGATGATATAAAGTTGTAAAACATGGCTCGCTACTTTTATATCACACAAATATATCAAGTTACCTTCCGTTACAAATTATGATATGGACAAATCTAGAAAAGAAAAACATTCTCCAGGCAAAGGACTGGAGAACTGCAAGAGGTATAAATTTAGATAGTGTGAAGTTTTCCTCCTCTATGGCATAGGTTAACAAGATTTCCCCCCTGTATGAATCCTATATACATATATATATAAAATATTACCAGTTATTTATGCTACCTGTAGTATTTTTTTAAATGCAGGGGGGAAACTATCATGGTTGAAACAACAGAATTTAAATGGCAAGAACATTTTATAATCTAAGTACTGTATAAAATAAGTAGGTGGGAACCCTGCACAGTTATGTTGATCCTAATTTCATTTAAGCTAAGCACAAGAGAAAAATCATGAATGCATCTAACAACTTGAGCAGCTGTATTTAAACTGAACCCAGAACAGCAGATGTGCCTTGGCTTCAGGACAGCTGTAACTGCTCCCAATTCTTGGGTGACAGAGCCTAAGGGCCATCAAAGCATTCTGCAGTCACTATATGCACACGAGGACTAGTTCTTGGCAGTAGCATTAAACTATATTCTCATATTAAGTAGAACTGTACTAAGTTATTTAGCAAAGAGACACAGTCCCTGGTAATATATTAACAGGTATAAATAAACTTAGTCTCCTGTGTTACAAAAAAAAAAAAAAAAAAAAAAAAAGTACTTAAGGTGATTTAATAAGAAGCAATGCTTTGTCAGCCAGTCAATATATAGAAACATCTGAACAGTCACAGGAAAAGGAAAAGAGTTGATCTAACACCCAGTTAAAATTTTACATTCTTCTACTATATATATAAAACTGTGTGAAATAAAAGTAAGGATGTATATCCATATATTGAACTGTTAATATTCTGCTTGGCACTTTGTACTCTAGTTTTGTTTCTGAATCAAGTATATTAAATTAAAGCCCACCTAGCTACTACATATAGAAAGCTACATATATATCTATATATAAATACACACACACATATATATATATAGATAGATATTTCCTTGTTATAAAAGATGAAGAAAAATAAATTAAAAAGCCAACCCCTTCCCTTTCTCCGCCACACTGATATGCTCTTTCCATCTTTGCTGTCCTTCAGACTTTAAAGTGCTACACTGAGTTATTGAGAGAATAAAAGTTCAATAACACTTAGTTGGCTTCATGAGGCTCATGTTGGAAAATGTGGCTTCACAGAGAAAAATACTTCCATTTAAATACACAGAGAGCATTGCTGGACGTCTGGAGCAGATCTTCAGAGATGGAGAAGAAAGCAAAAGTGTTGGGTGGTGCCCTACAGAGTCACACGTCTACGACCATCTTTTTGTGGATATCTAGGCCTCCTACAACCTGGGAGAAAAATAAGGTTCAGAGACATGAGAATTGAAAGTTAGCAAGGCACAAAGAACACATTCAATAGATGCATTCAGGTCAATCATAATGACAGTACCTCCCTAGCCTCTCCACACTGATTTACATTTCACAAGTACTCGTGAGGGACAGAAATGAATTATGTACGAACCAAGGTCGTTCAATATTAGCACAATTTACACACTCAGAGGCCTGAAAACCAGTGTAAATGACACCATTTTGGCATTGCTCCCCAGCTCCTATTCTGACCTTGCACTGTTTTTCTGCATGTTAAATAAAATGCTGACTTGACTTCTAAAAGACCCTGTAAAACTGTGCACCTTCCCATGAGTAGCCAAGGGTCGGTCTTAAGAACAGAAGCAGGGTTTCTGACAGAATTGCACACACCCAGAAAAGAATTACCAGTGTTCACAGGGGTGTGATCCATGCAAAGCAAAAGGAGAAGGTGCCATGTCAGAAGAACTTTGTACAACGTGTGAACAAAACTCAAAAGCCAAATGGTATCTTTCAAATGCAACAAATGAAAATGTATTTTTGCAGACAGATGGCACAAGGTTCAGAGAAGGCAAAATGCCAGAACAAGAGGATAAGAGGTTGTAAAAGTGAAAAGTCTCTTGTCAGGTCAACAAAAAATGATGAAATTCAAAGGAAGAAGAAAATCTAACAGTCGCACGAGACAGGAAGCCTGGGCAGAAGCCCAAGCACAAAAGAAAAGGCAACATCACTTTATGGATGGCTGGAGGATAACAGCCCAGTGCAAGAAATGAAGAGATAATGCAGTAATCTGGGTCTCTGCAGGCTGTGACTCTCAGACCTTTGCAGATGACTGTGTGTTTTTTACATGATGTCACAAAAGTAACTTTAAAAAACCCTCAAACATGCAAACAATAGAACCCCTTCCCTTTAATAGTTGGGGGGATGGCAGATTTCCTCCTCTATTTTTTAGAAATCACATTGAGTGTGAAAAGGTTATGTTTGAACTGAAGTTGTAAATTCAAAGAGTAGGGAAAAAAAGCAATTCCCAAACTGTGTTACCAGGTGTGTGTTCATTACCATTCCTTTCAAATTAATGTCTAAACATTCGTTGCAATTTCAAATGTTCAAGATTCATTTCATTTTCTGAAGAGAGAATTTAAAACTTGCTGTTAAATAATTAAATAAATATACCACAGGGGTGAAAATCAACCATTTCAGGTCTCAAGTGGTACATTCAAGCATTCTGCTCTGTAAACCCCAAAGTTCTTAAAAGGCACGTTTCAACTGTCTGCCCTATTTCAGGAGCAGCAGTTGAGGGGTTGTTCTCCCTGTAAATGACACAAGTTTTCTCTAGAAGTTAACTTACAGCACAGAATTCTTCAAAGGATATTCTTCCATCACCATCCTTATCTGCATTAATTA